CTGGATGAACACAGCAGGCCAAGCAGCATCATAGGAGCTCCTATGATGCTGCTTGGCCTGCTGTGTTCATCCAGCCCTGCACCTTGCTGTCTCGGATTCTCCAGCATCTGCAGTCCCTACTAACTCTTGTGATTCTGCCTTTTCTCACCCTAGGGTGCTGACCCATGTCACGGAACGATTTAATGGGTGCCAAACCTTGTGCATGAGATTGTCTCTTTATTTAAAAGCTGGGGCACTGACTCTTAGCAGATTACATATGGCTGAGCTTGTTTCTGTTCTTTTCAAATAACTGTGGTCATATCTCATCTCTTCCAGGAAAGACTGGCAGGATCGGGAACTTGGGTAATGAGTACAGTAGCCAAAAAAACATTGAGACTCCACCTAATCCTCTGTTCTCCCTTTACCCCATCATTAGTAGTTGTGAATTCAGCCACTGTGTCCCACACTCTGGAATTCCCTTTCTGAATGCCTTTGTGTTTTAAAGTTCTCCAAAACACCAACCTTTCGGATCACTTATTAATCCATCTTTCGTTCAGTATTTATGGCACTGTACAGAAACATGACTGTTTCTCCATGTCAGTGTGTGAAAGTTAGAAACAAACACAGAAATTGCTGGGGAAGCTCAGCAGTATCTGTGGGGAGAAATCAGAGTTAACATATCAGGTCCAGTGATCTCAGTTCTGAGGAAGGGTCATTGGACCTGAAACATTAAGTCGATTTCTCTCCTGAGCTTTTCCAGCAATTTCTGTTTTTGTTTCTGATTTACAGCATCCACAGTTCTTTTGTTTTTTTTAATGCAAGTAAGTTATTGTCATGACCTCAACTCCTTCTACCCTGACCCCAATATTTTCTGTCTCCACGATTAAATGTTTATTTGACCCCCTCCCCTCACAAACCTTCTGCCCTCTCCTACTCTGCTGGAAGTATTGACTTCTTGCAGTTATGCTCCAATATCATTAATCAAGTCAGTAGCCCAGCACCGTTTTGTATCCATCTCGGCAGAGATATCCTATCTTCAGCAAACGCACAAATTCATCATGTCAAACCCAGGTCACTAATTGGGAGCAGGAACTTTACAGCCCTATGTTAGGAAAAAAAAAGAGTTAAGATCTATTGTAATGTTCCTTTCGTTATCCCAGCTAAGATGAGAACAGGTTAGGGCCTTAACTTGGTCTTTCTTTGCTTAGCGCAGCTTGTCAGCTCTCAGGATAAACTTGTTCAGCCACTGAAGGAGTATAACCTTTACAAACTGATATCTGGGACAAATAGGTGATCTTCCACCCTCTAATCTGTCTTTCCTTGACAACTTGCCTTGTCTTCTGTTTGATTATACTACAGTGGTCATTGCTCCTTTAGGTTCACTAGATTGATTCCAGAGATGAGGGGTTTATCTTATGAGGAGAGATTGAGCAGTTTAGGCCTACACTCTTTGGAGTTTAGAAGGATGAGATGAGGTCTAATTGGAGGTTAAGATGTTAAAGGGGATTAACAAATTAGATGTAGAGAGAATGCCCCACATGACGAAACAATCTAAAACAAGAGGCCATAGATTTAAGATCAGGGGTGGCAGATTCAAAGCAAGAGGAATTTCCTCTCTCAAAGGGTCATCAATCTGTGGAATTCACGCAGATGCTGGAACATGGAGTAAATTTAAGGAGAAGATAGGCAGATTTTTAATTAGTGATGGGGTTGAAAGGTTATGGACAGCAAGCAGGAAAGTGGAGTTAAGGTTGAGATCAGCCATGATTGCATCAAATGGCAAAGGGGCTGAATGGCCTCCTCCTGTTCCTGGTTCTTATGTTCTCCTCTAGATTTTCCTCCTTTGGTCCTTTGAAGGAGTTGGGGGTAACCATGGAAGGGAGGTCTGTACTGTTTTTAAGTCAGTCTTTGTTCTAAGGCTTGATTGTCCCAGTCCCCTCAGTGTTGAACCAGTAGGTTGTCCTACTCTGCTCTATTCCACCAATAATCTGGATGTAGGTGTGATAAAGTAATTCCATACTCTTTACTCACACTATGTACATGAATACATTTTAGGACAGAGTTGTTGATATTCCTCTCAGTCTCCATCTTAGACTCTCGTTTCAGAATGCTCTGTGTAGGTCAAGTCTACACTATCACTGACTGGTTCACATTAACCCCTTACTCCACACAAAGGTCCTACATTTTCTTTTTCCTCCCTCAGTGGTTAATATGCTGACATCAAGAATAAAGTTACAGAACCTGCTTTTCTACTTTCTTACCCAGAAGCTTAAAAGCTAAAATCTTTCCCAGTCTTGCATTGCTCAAACAACCCTCAGGCTTTCAAAGTATCACCAAAACACTGGTGGCGGGGCCAGGATTTTTATTGCCCTTGAGAAGGTGGTGATGAGCTGCCTTCTTGAACCACTGCAGTCCACATGCTACAGGTTGACCCACAATGCCTTAGGGAGGGAAGTAATGACAGTGAAATTGTCAGTGTTCATTGCTCAAACTGACAGCAACTTTGGGGGTTTGCACATGAACAGTTAAACACAGAAATCCAAAGTCACTAATTCTGTGCTACCTACAGGATGCACTGCTGAAATTCTCCCAAGTGCAACCAATTAGAAATCACTGAACTGTCTTAAATTTACAATCTTACGTTTTTAGACTCTACATAAAAATATTTGAGGAAGTTACATTCCGTTGCATGAGGTGTAAATATTTTTTGTATGGGCACTCTAAGTTCGTACTTGCTGAAGGGGCTCACTGGGACTGAAAAAATGTTATATTTGCTGAATATTAAAGGTGTCCGAAGTGAGAACAAATTCCACATTGGAAAAAAGAAGGCATTTCCATTATTTAAAAGTTTCCTTATGATTTGTTTTAACTTCTATCATATGTCCTAAACATGTACATCACCAAGGTTCTTCAGTAGATTTATAGCTCGGGTTGTGAATGCTGTGATTGGTTCACTTGCCGAGCTGGTTCATTAGTTTGCAGACATTTCATTATGAAACGAACCAACCACAGCATGTACATCACTATCTCTGAAGTTTGAAATTAAAAGTGAAAGGATTACCCGAAACGTCAGCTTTCCTGCTCCTCTGATGCTGCTTGGCCTGCTGTGTTCATCCAGCTCTACACCTTGGTATCTCAGATTCTCCAGCATCTGCAGTTCCTACTATATCTGACCTTTACTTCCTGTTTTGCTAACTGTGAGAATTCTATAAGGTTATTGGCTACCTTCCCTGCTTGACTACATCACAGCTGCCTGGAAATCTTTCCATTTTCACACTAGATTCAAACTGGCTTTCAAAAAGAGGGAAGTCCACTTCACAGGGAACACTAGGTCCTTGTCATCAGAAAATTCAGCTGTTAACTCTTGATTTATCACATCAGTGAAACTATTCTAACAGCCTCGTCATAAGTACAGTAGAGAGGGCACCATTTCCTGACAGTGGAAATTCAAGCTTGATACAAAATAAGGACTTACTGTTGTCTCATCATTGGAATGTTCACACAGTTAGCAGCTGCCACGGCAACAAAAGGGACCCAGCGTGCCAATAAAGGGGGAGCTTTCTGGGAAAGAAAATCAAAATAAAACACATGCACAAAATTCATCATCAGTTGTCTAAGAAAACATTCAGTTCATTTCTCTGTGTTCCAAGGAAATGTCATTGACCTCAAATGTTAATGCTGTTTTCCTCTCACAGGTGTTGTCTCACCTGTTGAGAGTTTTCAGCACTTTCTGCTTTTATTTCAGATTTCCAGCAGCTACAGTCGTTTACATTTTTCAAATAATCTGAAACTTCCAACACAGCTTGAGCACAGAGGGCTTTTTACACCAATAAAGGGTTAGCGAGCCAATCAACTTATGATTATCCTTCTGTATATAGTTGTTCTGTCACTAGTTTCTAGAAGGTACTTCTCAAAATAAAGAATCACTACATAATTTTACTTGGCCCCAGTTTCGAACTGCAGGATTGCAGCACCGAAGCCTGGAATAGACCACACACATCACCTCAGCCCAATATCACCTGCATTTCTGGTATTATTCAGCCAACTTCATATCCATCTCCAAGTTTAATGCACTGTTTTGAATTTGCATGGATGACATTCATATAGAACACAAATATGTTGTTAAAATACCAGGGGGAAATTATGAAACTAACTTAGCAGGTCATTTTCTGCAGCTACGCCTCTATAATTTTGATAATGACTGATGCAAAACGAGTTATCTGGCTTTGTTTTCATCAGCTTGCTGGTTGTCAATGTCATTAATTACATTTGTAGAATCTCTTACGATTGTTGGTAAACTACTTGTGAGTTCACCAGTAAACCATTTAATATACTAACCAGGTTTGGTTTATCCTCAATTCCAATCGTGTTAATGTTCTTGTCTGGGCCATAGAATACTCCAGTATAAGAGGAGGCCATATTCTCTGTTCTTTGGGTGAACTCTTCAAATAATTTCAATCCCTAATCTTTCTCCCACAGCCCTGCAAGTCTAGTATTTATCTAATTATCTTCCGACTTTTACTCATTGAATCTGCTTCCACCAGCTTTGCAGACAAAGAATGCTGGATCATAACTCATTGTAAAACATGCTTCGTCACCATCTTTCAGTTGGTTGTAATTTTATTAAAACTGTGGTTAGTGCAAAGTCCCCTTCAATGCCATTTTTATTTTTTTTTTGGAAGTTCCTTTAGTCTTTCTACTTGTTTTCCTCACTTTGTTCTTAATGGGTTTTGTAGAATTTGCTCTGCAGAATTTGTTTTGCCTGCTTATTTCTCTTTTCAGGTCATTTTTCTTTTATCTTTTCCTGGCGCTAACTAATTCTTGCTCTGTACTTAGCTGGCATGCCGAGTACAATGTCCTTGAATGAATTCCATTTGTTATCAACTGAAGTTCTCCTCAGTATTACCGCACCCACCCCATCAATATCACTATGTTCTTCCTCCGTTGCCTTGAAGTGGGCCTTTCATCTTAAAAAGAAAAGCTTTGCTTTTATATTTCTCAATGCTTGGTTTTTGTGTGGCTGGAATTTAGTTACTGTCCTTTGTGGGTATTCGTCATTGCTGGATAAATACTGATTCTTATCAATTAGATTTTTCTATTGCTTTTGAGAAGAATTCAAATCAATTGGAATGCAAGTTTTAACTTTCTTTGTAGACTGCAAGGCTCAATAATTGCTAGAGCTAATAGCTCTTTTATTTATTCCTGCCATGTGGGCGTCACTGGCTACAGTAACATCTATTGTGCATCCTTACTTGCCCTGGAGAAGCTGGTGGTGAGCTGCCTTATTGAACCACTGCAGTCCATTTGGTGTCAATACATACATAAATAAATGCTTTTAGGGAAGGAGTTCTGGGAGATTTTGTTTTGTATTTGTACATGCAATATAGGCATCACTGGCTAGGCCGGCATCTATTACCCACCCATAATTGCGGTGGCTTCAATGTCCATCTTAGCCCATGAGAAAAGGGAAGAAAGATGAATCAATTAATTAGCAAGTGAACTATGTAGGAGCCACTTAGCTACATTGTCCACTTGGTTTTGTAGAGCACTGCAGCAGGGAAGAGGAAGAGGGATGAGAAAATAATAAAAGTAATATTAATTTAGTAAATTCTTTTGGCAGATTTCTGTGAAAGTTGCTCTTGAACCAGAAGTGAGAATTGGGGTAGCAACCGAAGGCTATCCATTTCCCATTTTACCATCTGTGCCCCATTGTGAAAGTAGCTAGACTCAATGTCAAGGGTCCCAGGAGGAATCCAACTCCAAAACATTACTGTAGAAATTGTGCCAGTTGTGGGCTACAATAGGTTTGGCAAGACCCGGGAAGGAAGAGAAGATATGGGACTAGATTAATTTAGGATATCTGGTCGGCATGGACGAGTTGGACCGAAGGTCTGTTTCTGTGCTGTACAGCTCTGTAAGCTACAAGTACTTAAAACTTCAAGGAAATCTCTTCAGACAGGAGTTCTGCGATGTACCTTTGTGTATAGATTCAGTCCAACTGCAGTTGCTAGGGCAGTGCTGGTTGCCGTCAAATACGCTACTCCTATTTGTCTAAACAAAGAAAAGGGAGAGAAAGTTTTTCTTTTAAAAAACTGTCATAATCTTTTATGATCTATACTCATTTTTTCATTTCCTGGAGTAGTTTTGCTTTATCCCTGGTTAACCATTTAACATACAATCTTCAGGACTGCTTTTCCTTGTGCTCTAGTCCGACCAGGTGCACGCAAGTGCACACCACCTGAACACAGTAGCATTTCCAGAATTAAATGATCGCAATAGGCCAGAGTTGCATAGCACAGGCCCGTATCTAGCACGACCTTCAGCTTCATAGCTCAGAACCCTTCTCAGACCCTCCACTGTGAAAAAGACCCAAGGTTTCATTCTAAGTCTTCCTCCAAAACAGTGCAATGTCAGTACAATGCTGCATGGGGCACAGAAAAATAAGCATTTCTTGTGTGTAAAGCAAAAGCAAATCTGTTGTATAAGTTCAAAGTAGAAAGAAATTCCTATTACATGGAACTAGATTGAATAATAAAAAAAACTTGGTACTTTAATTCTGGTCATTTCTGATTTTCTGCTGATATTGTTATCCCTCTGGGTGCCTTGACTGGTTACGGTAGGGGTACATGGTAGCAATTACTCAGAGAAACTCTTTACTATGAAGAGGAATCATAAAAGAGCCAGGTTTCTCACCTTTGATCAATAAGCATCAAAAAAAAAAATTCACTTTCTAGAAATTTCCAGCAGAGGAGGCCATTAAACACATCTTGTTTGTGATGACTCTTTGCAAGAGCTTTTCAATATGACTGAGCCCCTCCCCTTTCCCCATAGCCTGCAATTGCCTCCATCTCTTATCCAATTCCCTCTGAAAGATTACTATTGAAACACCTTCTGTCAAACTTTCAGGCCGTGCATTCCAGATCGTAACAATTTGCTGTAAATACATTTTTCTCATCTCCCTGCTGGCCCTTTCACCAATTACCTTCCTCCAGTGTCCTCTGGTTACTGTGGGTCTACCTGCCAGTAGAACAGATTTTCCAAATGTACTCTGTCAAAACTCCACCTTATTTTCGATCACCTTTACCCTGAACATGGGCAGCAGTGGATTAAATTTGCCTTTGACACAGCCAAAGAACAAGTTGCTTTAAGCTGTCTAGACTCATGCAGAGGATGGATAACCGAGAGAGGAAACTGGGGCTTGATTTTCATTCGGGGGTCTTTTCTGGGTCCCAACCCCACTTTTAAAATGCAGCTCTCTATTTCAATGAGCTTTCGGAAATGGTTCATGCCCAATTTATGGCCAAGGAAGGAGAATGCACTGAAATCAGCACTTCAGGTTGGTTTGCTGCATCTCACACAATCACCAGACTTCACTCCTCAGGCGCTGAGGGCAGCATTTCAGGAACTTCATCGGTTTTAAGGACAATGTGATTGCTGGTGCATTACTATCCCTGTCAAACTTCAAAACCAGCACGTGGGGCTAGGGTATAGAAACTCTGCCCAATCTGATAACTGGCACACAGGAACGAGGACCAGTGTCTGCACAGCATGAAATGACACACAGAGAAATGGCATACAATCTGGCAACGTCAACAAGAAGAGTAATTGTGTCTTCACTTCAGCCAGCCAATCCCCGGCTCACAGCTCGACTGTTGCCAATAAGTCACAACCAATCACAGCCAAAGTCAGATGGCAACATTGGTGGCCGATTGATTTCCAGTTGGATTTCCCAGTTGTTTTGGCTCCTCACATTGCAGACCAGCTACTCCCAGAAGGTCACTTGGCTGCTCAGCTGGTTTGCGATGTAGAGCGACACTACAGCGCGGGTTCAATTCTTGTACCAGCTGAGGTTACCATGAAGGCCCCACCTTCTCAACCTCTTCCCCTCACTTGAGGTGTGGTGACCTTCAGGTTGAACCGCCACCAGTCGTTTCTCCCTCATGAGACGGTAGCCCCATGGTTCTCTGGGACTGTGGTAACTTTACCTTCTTACCGAGGAGCTTAACAGGCAGTTAATTGAAAGTGAGAAGTTTGCCAGCTAACACCACCGTGCCATCTCTCCCCCAATCCAACCGTGATTGCACACTTTGAAAACAACAATGCATTCCAGAGGATTCAGAAGACTATGACTCTGTCTGGATGCAATTTTCAAAAATGTGCTTGAACCCCCCCGACCTCCCCATTTGATTGGGAAATCAAGCCCCTACTGTCTACACCTCCTCATGTCAATAGCAGTCAAGGTCAAAAAGAAGGAGAAGAAAAAAAAAGCCCTTTTCATTTGATAAAGAACACACACAGCTGCACTGTAAACACCAAATAGCTCCAGTAACAGTGGCACAAAACTTCCCATTTTCCTGATTAAAATCAGCTGGTTTTTTGACACTGTTGGTAACTGAATGGACAAAGGAAGCAGAGACGGTGACATTTTCAATCGAAAATACTTACTTTGTAGTAATTGGCGAAGCTGCGTTCCTATTGGTATAATTGACCAAGGCATTAAATGACTGGTTCACCCACTGCCAAAACACCACTGCTGGAACTGTCCTGAAAGGAATGAGGGAAAAACAGTACTGGGTCACAGTACTCACAGCAGTGTCAGAGACATATCATACAAATAACCCACACGTATACATCCTCAATCTCTGCAATGTGATTTTATACAGAGCACATTGACAAATCTTAAACATCTTAACACAGGGATTTGTGCAATATCGAAGGACAGCTTGGCTCAGTACTGGCTGCCCTGTTGCTTTCAGATCAGAAGTCTACGGTTGAAGATTTGGACCCAGATACCTGCAATATCTTAAAAGGTGGCACACCGGGGGTTGTTGTTCAAGATTAAGTCTTATGGGACACAGGATAACATATTAGCTTTGGTTTATGATTTGTTAATGGTCTGGAAACCAAGTAGGAATAAACAGATCATTTTTTTGAGATGACATGGAATAATTAGTGAATGTTGACAAGAATCAGTACTTGGACCTCAACCACTTACAATCTATACCCATTACTTAGATGAGGCCACCAAGTATTATATACCCAGACTGAGTGATGATACAGGGCTGAATGAAGCTGTCAGAAGAACATAAAAGTGTTGAGTATGGATGTGGATTGCTTTAATGATTGGGCAAGAAGGTGGCAGATGGAATATTGAGTAGAATCTACTCCCTTCTTCAGTGATGTGACTGGAAGGGGTTGGGGTAGGGTAGGTGAGACCTCATCTTTCTGTTTACATCCTGATTAAATCCAGGGTCTGCAGCCTGTGGTCAGTCTTCCAGTCACACCACCAGTTGAGGCCTTTAGGTGGATAATTAATGACCATTTAAGGACTTATCCCTCTGCCACTGGCATTACTCAGTTGTAGGTGGGTCTGTCATCACTAGGACCGCATGATGAGTGAACACACACAGTCTGTTCGCTGTGTGTGTGTGTGAGTGTGTGTGTGTGTGTGTGTGTGAAGGAGAGAGAGAGAGCAAGAGAGAGTGAGAGTGAGAGACAGTGAGAGCGAGAAGTAGGTGGGGGGTGCAGTCTAAAAGATTCCTCTGTCAAAGTCATGCAGGGCCTGAGCAAGGAAAACTGCATCAGGAAGGTGCTGCAATGAAACCACTTTTCTGCCCTTACTGCTGACTGCCCCCTCCTCCCAAAGAAATCCACTCACGCAGCAAAATTACACGTCTCTGAACCGCCTCCCGCCATTACTTACCTGCCTCACTCTGCTACCTTCGACACCTCCCCCCACCCCTCCCAGTGGATGTACTTCCTGCGGTGACCACAGCTTCCACAGGGGTACTGCTGACAGGTGGTACCCCACCCACATTTCTCAACCTCCACATCCATTCATATTCCAGCAGGCTTTCACCAAAAAGGTGGTAGCACTTCTATAACATTCCACTCATAATGTGTGGAGATGTGTTAAGAAGATCATAATTATGTAGTTTCTTTTTGAATGGGACAGCCCAGTAAGTAGTAAAATTCAGAAGAATGTTGGTGCCCTTTGAAACTAATCACAGAGAGTTAACATACATAACATACAGGAAGACAAAAGGTATGTCTGCTAACTATTGCAACAGGGTTGCAGTATAAGACTGAGGAAGCCTTGCCCCAATTGTATGGGACTTTGGTGTGATGACACCTAGAATGCTTATTTCCTAATCTCAAGAAGGATATATTTGCCTTAGAAAGAATGCAAGATGGTTTCACTAGACTGATTCCTGGGATGAGAGGGTTGTCCCTTGAGGACAGATTGAGTACAATGGGCCCATTCTCCCTGGAATTTAGAGTAATAAGAGATGATATTAATGTGACATATATATTTCAGAACTCCAGAGGGCAGATACTGAGAGGCTAGCTGATGAGACTAGATCTGGGGTAGAACAGGATAAGGGGTCCACCACTTAGGTTCGAGATGAAGCTACATTTCTTCACTCTGAGGTTATGAATCTCAGGAATTTCTCTACCTCAGAGGGATGTGGATGCTCAGTTGGTAAGTATATTCCAGACTGAGTTTGATAGATTTTTGTGCAATAAGGGAATTATAGGAATACAACAAGAATGTGGAGTTGAGGTCAAAGTCGAGACACAATCTTATTGATCAAGGGACATTATAGCCTTCTTCTGCTGCTATTTCCTCTTACTGAAAAGTGCTTCAAGTGCAATGAAGGACTCTGAAGTGGACTGAAATAGAGTGGTTGTTTCTAAGTAGGCAAATACATTAATAGTTTTGCGAACAAAGCACACACAACCTGCAGTGAGACGAATAACCTCTTAACGTTATTTTTTGGTGAAGTTAGTCTGAGAGAGACTGATAAACCTTATTTATTCAGCATCACTCACATTGTCAGGATCCCCCAAAGTACTTCGCAGAAGTGAAGCGTTTTTTAATTGTAGTCACTGTTGCTATCGGAAAGAAGCGCAGTAGCCAATTTACACACAGCAGGTCCCAGAAGCAGTATTGAGATAAATGATCAGGTAATCTGTCCTAGTGATTGTCTGAACATCAAATATTGCTTGGAACAGTGGGGAGAATGCCCAGTTGTTTCATAGTGTCATGGAATCTTTTGCAAACCACCTCTTTCCAAAAGTGTACAAAATAAATGGGAACAATCTACAGGAAAGGCACAGGATTAGGAGCTTAAAGCTTGCCTGGGAAATAGCCCCACTCTGTGACCACAGTATAAAACAGTGGTGAAAAAGGCAGTTGCTGGTATTTATAGATTGATGCATAAAGTTTGAGCTAAAGAAAAAAAAAGCAAGCTTGCATTTGTGCAGAACCATTCACAACTTCAGGCTTTTAATGACATATTTTTGAAGTGTCACTTCTGTTGTTGGTGTACGGAAAGGACTATTCCACTATCCACCTTGGCTTGTCTTGGAGGGAAGAGCAAAGGGCAACCAAGTTGATAAATATTGTTAAGTATCAGTGCAGTGAGGAAAATACAAGAGAGATTCACACCGGACAAAGAGGGTATCTTGCTACTGTGTCTAAGATCCTGACAAAATGTTTACTTAATGTGAGGTTTTAAGGGATGGGAATGCAATTCAAGCATAGACAAGATGAAGCAAATACAATTGAATATTAATAGAGGTGAAATTCAGGTTTAAGTAAATGATGATGAATTTTGGTCCGGAAGTAGATATTTTTAATCAACTTGTTCAGATGCGTTACAACACACCTCCGGAATGGATAGGACTTGACCTCAGGCCACCTAGCTCAGTGGTACGCAGACTACCACTGCACCACAATATCCCCATTGGGCAGGATGTATCATGGTTTCGGAATCTGGATTGCCCATCTTGGAATGGGCAAAATTGCCATCATCTTTGCAGTGAGACAACAAAATACAACACATTCTAAGTGGATGACCATGCTAACACCAATATCATCTGGTGATACAAAATATTTATGATCTCCTGATACCTAAGCTTTGTAGCCAGTGAAGATATCTTAGAGATTTTCCTCAAAATGACAATATTTTGGTCAGAATTAGCTTTACTAGTGAATGGAACGGTTGGTGCAGGAGGCAGAGTTCTAATTGTACTGTAGTCCCAACAATTTCAGAAGAAAACAAAGTAATAAAACACTTTAATTGCAGTGGGATGGAGGTGGTGGGAATGGAAGGGGTGGGTGAGTAAGGGCAAAAGCATTTTTACATGCTAAAGGCATTAGGAGAGCAGTAAGGGTGTAAGTTATTTAATTGTACTGGCCTTACAGATAGGAAGCTCACAAATTCAGCTCTGAATCTGCACTGAAATTGCCCGAGTCTTAAATTTGTCTTATTCCCTCTAAAGCTTAGAGCAATACATTTCATGTTACACCAAACCGCTTCTTGTATAATTTTCTTTTTTATTCTTTCATGGAGCATAAGCGTCACTGGCAAGGCCAGTATGTATTGTCCATCCTAATTACCTTCGAATTGAGTGGCTTAGCTGGCAATTTCAGAGATTCATACATGGGCCAGACTGGGTAAGGTTGACAGATTTCCTTCCCATTAACGAACCAGTTGGATTTAAGACAAATCACTCCAATTCCAGAAATATTAGTTGAATTTAAATTCCACCAGGTACGATGGTGGAATTTGAACCTGGGTCCCCAGAACACTAGGCCTGGCCTTCTGGATTACCAATCCAGTGACATTAGCACCATGCCACCTTCCCTTCTGAAACAATGCAATTATTTTCCATTTATTGATGCCAAAGCTCTTCTCCAAACTTTTTCTCTTCCAGAATAAACTTTTCCAATGCCCTTCCCAACTCATCCAAACATTGATCTCAGCAACTATCGTACAGAGCTTTGCTTGCCCATCACTGCTACCTTTACCAACCTCAAGTATCTCTTGTTACAACCAAGGCTTGAGGAATACACCACTGCACTAACCCTACTAGTGCATGGGTCACAACATGAAATAAAAATATATTTCCCAATTACTGACATGGTTAATTAAGTACTTGTTTGTGTCAGATATTAAATAAAAAGGTCTATTAACCAGGTTTATTTAATAAATGCAATTATTGATTTATTATCAAATCAAAACTTATTCAATGAAGATGCAATAACTGGTGAAGAAACAATATGGAATTATAAATTATCATCCCTCCAAATAACACAAAACATACATACAAGTACAGACAGTTAGGAAAGCAGCAAAAAGATGGATTTTTCTTTCCAGGGATTTACTTCTGGCCATTAGGGTTATTCTTGAAGGCAAAATGAATACAGCACTTCGAGTCACTTTCATGCACAATGGTTTCTGGAGCCTTGTAGACATAGCTAACTCAGAAAATACAAAATTGAGAAGTTCCTTTAATCACTCTCTCAGAAGAGCAAATTGGTTTGACGCTGAACTCAACAGGAGCTTTTTCTCCCCAGACATAGGAGAGATCAGCTGGGCAGCCCTTTCTCACTGAGTTCTTGTTCCCAACTCATTTCACATACCAAAGCACTTTCCATCCAGTCACTGTTCGAACAGCCCCAGCAAAGATCTGCAGTAGAACTAGCAGTTAGAGAGTCATATGACATGAAAACAGACCCTTTGTTCCAACATGCC